CCTAAACCCGAAGCCCTAAACCCTGACCCCGAAGCCCCAAACCCTAAACCGTAAGCCCTAAACCCTAAACCAAGTCAGCGTCTCTGAGTTTTTTGCTTTCGGCGGATCTTGTTGGTTTCGTGGAGCCTAGGCGACCAGTCAGTGCTTCGGGGCTTTGAACTACCATGCGTGATTGCTTGTTCTTGGACCTGTTCCTTACCCAAAGGCCCCATAGTAATTCCTTTTTTGGGATTACCTTATAGGATTCTATATATGAACCCCAAAAAGGAACTACTTCAGGGCCTATGGGTCAAGGAGCCAGTGTGAAATACAAGTTTGTGACAGCCCAGTCAGGCGCAACCCAAGCTGATGCGGCGCTGCTGCATTGAAGTCATAGATCCTCCATCTGTCTGTACTGGGCCCGAAAACATCTACCATTCTAGGGGCCATATCCCCGTGTCTAGGACAAAGAATGTCCCGGTAAACAATCCCTAAGCTCGTTGACAGGTGACCTGGGATGACGAGTTGTCCAAGACACAGGCCAAGGAAGACCTCGAAGCGACTTGCCTCTAGAAGATCATGTGCTGCAGCCGAGCCTGAGTTGAATAGTTAGGGTTTAGGGTTTAGGGTTTAGGGTTCATATTCCCATAGATGCTTTAAGAACAGATGATAAAGTACGTAAGTACTAGCCATATCCCTATAGGCCCTATACCCGTAGCCCAAAAGACCTACCTTTTAAAAGAGGGCTTTACCATAGAAGCCGTAATAAGGACCCCGCCTAAGAAGCCTATTTTGAAGTACTGGCTGCGGGTTTACATCTAAGGGCTTTAGGAGGGACCCTTAACAGGGACCCTTGCAGGTTATTGGGGTTGCTACGGAGACTACCTGGCCATATATATAAGGGGTATATAAGGATTATACAGTGGTTATTTAAGGTAGTATTAGGGGTCCCTCCTAAAGTCCTTAGATTGCAGATTCGCCTTGATGGCGCCGGCCATGTGAATCTTGCAAAGGCAGGCTTCGAAGCACCATTTGGGGGTTTCCGAAAACAGGGGACCCTCATATACTACCAAAAATCGTAGGATCCTTATTCTATGGACTCCAAGCTAAGGTGCCCCGAATTTTCGGAAACTCTCATTTAGGAACCCCAACAACGACAGAAGCATAAGCATTTTATAGGGATGTCCCTACCTTATTGGGCTTCATTGCGGGGGGGTTTATATGGGATATCCCTATCCTATGTTTTGCTTATGTGCTTTTTTGGGCCCCTAACCATGGCTCCAATCCGTGAAAGAGTTCAAGCACAATGCAGCTGTGAAGTACTGTTGACGATATAAATCCTGCATTACCTTAAGGACCCTACACTATGGGAATTATGGCATATTCCTTCTTATGAGCAATGCAGGGTTTATCTCATCAACCGTAGGAATACCATCATGTCAAGGCTTTACATGGAGGCACAGCTGTCTGGTGCTTAGTAGGGAATAGGGGAATGGATCCCGAAAATAGTCCCTTAAGGTCCCTTATAGTAGTCCCTATAACCCATTCCCCCATTCCCTGCTAAGCACCAGACCTAAACCCTAAACCCTAAACCCCAAACATCCCTAAGCCCTTAAACCCTAAACCCTTAAACCCCGGCACAGTAGCACTCCTGCGCGCAAGCCGCCTCGTGCCCAGAAGCACCTGGTCTCTCTCCAAACGCAGCTGAGCGATATGAGATCCAATGGTGCTTTGGCCACGGTTAAGGGTTAAGGGTTTAGGGTTTAGGGTTTAGGGGCTTTCGGGCTCCATAATTGGAGCGAGTTTCCGAGATTCTGAGCTTGGAAACCCGCGCTGGGCATTTGGCTAGCTTAACCTTGTGAGAGAGTCGTGATCATCGAATCACGCGCCCAACCCCGATCTTTGAGACGGTTATGGTAGAAGCCCAAAAGTTGGAAACCCAATAGCCTCAATCCTTAAAGAGTAACTTATAGGCTATGTATAGGGATTTGTCCTTAGTCCGGTTTCCAACTGTTTGGGGTTTACTGTATCGGGGCTTGGGTTTTCAGCTTCAGGGCTTCAGAGGGCTCTCTCGGCTTTCGGGCACCAGATTCTGATGGCGGATAGCGTTCGTCCAGGCCTCGACTCCGCAATTATGGGTCATTTTCCGGAACGCCCTCCACTTTCAAGAGCACTGTCAAGACTTGGCTGTGCATGGCTTGCTGCTGCAAGGCAGTCTGCATGTTGCAAGTGTGAGTTCAGAGCCATGCATATCTCATTCCGGGTCTGTAGTGTCAGATAGCTCTTGCTCACAGAGACTCATGCTTTGTTGAGCAACAGACCGGTCAGACTAAGATCCCCGTAGCTGAATAAAAACAATTTCAGCAATTGCCAGCCGAAACAATTTGCACAACGGAGCGGAAGGAATACCTTGCCGTAGAAATCCCACATCTATAGGGGCTTTAATAATTAGAATAGGGTTTGGGGCCCATTCTACTATACTTAAATATAAGGAACCTCCAAAATAGTATAGGTAATTATTTAGGCCCCTAAACCCTAAACCCTAAACCCTACACTACTTGTCTTGAGCCCCAAAGGTGCCGGAATTAAGATCCTGGTTGTGGGTCCCCAGCACCACGGCAGCTCGGCCAGCAAAGAGAGCTGGACCTGCTAAGGAGGAAATGTACCCCCAAAAGGGGGTTGGGGTTCAGATACCATTCGGGTTTAGGGTTTACGGTTTAGTTGCGGGTTTAGGGTTTAGGGTTTAGGGGAAAATCCTTAAGGGCGAAATGCACCCCAAAAAGGGTTTAGGGTTTAGGGGTTTAGGGTTCAGGTACCATGTAGGAACTCATAGTATAGGGTAAAAGGCTCTTACTCTTGAGGGTCATTTGGTCTTCAAGGATGTAACTGAGCCTCTACAGCGGCTGTGTGTACCTGAATACAGACATGAAGTTAGAGGTGTAGGAGATTTGTGGCAGAGCCCGGGGAGTTTGGTACCGCGGGTCGTCGAGTGATTGGGGCTCTTGCGCAGGCTGCAAGATAGACGAGGTCGTTTCTCTACATAAGACATATCCGATGACGAAAGGATTGCAAAGGGGATCCGGAAGGGAGCAGAAACCCTAAACCCTAAACCCTAAACTGATACCACAGTTTCCAGCGACGTGCGCTCGAAAACCGTTTGCAAAGACCCTGGCAGTCACCAAACATGAAGAGACTACTCAGACCGGAATCTAAGCCGTAAGTTGCTGTAATCGTGAAGTCGCTGCCCTCCAGGCCTACCCACTCCCAAGTCCTAAGCAGCCAGCAGCAGCCTTTTGTAGCATGGCATGCCCATAAAGACCGAGAAGTCGAGAGTTTGGAGTACGTGAAGACTCCCTAAGCCCGTTCGCCTCACCCTAAGCCTAAACCCCTCGAACCCTAAACCGCCCAGGAAAGTCGAGCTTGGTGAACCACTTCTGCAAGTGCTTGAGCAACAAGCTTTCTGCAAATGATCGTGTGAACACGGCACCCGCTGGCAGGAGCGAGAACACCCTAGAGGCCCGGGTTCCCTATAGACCCTATAGTTTAGGGTTTAGGGTTTAGGGTTTAGGGTTTAGGGTTTAGGGGACCCTATAAACTCATCAACCGTAAACCCTATGAGCCCTAAAAGGCCTAAAGCCGAAACTAAACCCTAAGCCTTGCAATGGATTGCGCTCAGTCGAGTGTCGCACGGCACATCCAGTCGGCATCTTGCACGTTCCCTGTTGCGAGCTTGTATAGCTTGGGGCTTCTAGTAGCGTTCGCTCTGGACGTCTTGAAGTCTAATACCCTAAGGGTCCAAATACATAATAATCATATACTCTTCTGAATACTAACCTACAAAACTACTATCCGTAACTCAAGGACCCTTAACCCTAAACCCCTAAACCCTACACCCTAAACCCTAAACCCTAAACCCTAAGTGATTGTAATCGCTGCAATCTTGCGACCGACGAGGTGACGCGCATTTCCGTCGAAGGGTTCGAGCAGCTGGTGCTCATCGACACGCCAGCGATACCCAGCATGAGCACAATGAACCGCAATGAGTTCGCGGCGCTGGTGACGCTCGGCTTCTTTTCAGTTGGGTGCTAGAAAATCGGGACTTATGTGGCTTTGCAGCAACGGCACCTCAAGATCGTGTCAGCTGGCAGCCCTTGGCCGTGCCGTCAGAGGAAGCAGTCAAAATGCTGCAGAGAACCCTTCATGCCATCGATAGCTAGGGGCCTGAATAGTTAGAATATAGGGTTTTGGGGCCCATTACATTATATTTATAATCAGGAACCCCAAAATAGTGTTGGTAATTATTTGGGCCCCTACATCACCCTCCAAGGGACGGCGCCACACAAAACGGCACTCGGCGCCCCGACTTGCTGCAAGCGGAGACGCTGAATCCTGCAGACGCGGCCATCATCGTAATGTCGCTGCTCCACTGGCGTGACGACTCGAGGTGATGTTGAGAAACTGTTTGGGTTTAGGGGCTTAGGGTTTAATTAGGGTTTAGGGTTTAGGGCGCTTTTGGTGTGCCCAGCACGAACTTCTCGACCGCGAAGTGCCGATATTCAGCTCGGTGTGCGATCAGAGTTCTCGTCAGGCTAGAAGCACTCACGCAGGCCAAAGAAATCGATTGTAGGCCGAAAGGCAGTTTAGGACGTGTTGCCGCAACAAGTTCGTCATGCAGACACCCTTGACTTGGGCCGCGGTATATTGAAATTCGCTCCGCCGCATTTGTTTCTGATTTCAGAACACCACCAAGATGGTTTGAACATTAGACAACTAACTGTCCATGACCTCCAAGCGCAAGAAGCCAAGAGCCTTCTCCTTTCACATCTCAGGAACCTTGAAGGCCAAAGGACCCTCAAAAGTAAGAGCCTTTTTCCCCTATACCCTGAATTCCTTTTTGGTATCTGAACCCTAACCCCAAACCCTAAACCCTAAACCCTAAACCCTAAACCCTAAACCCTAAACCCTAAAACCCTAAAACCCTAACCCCTTTTTGGGGTAGATTTCGCCCTTAAGGAACAGGAAGAGATGGAAGCCTACCTTCAAGGCCGGGCCCCGCCAGCCTCGAACAACCCGAACCACCGCCCCGTTCCGGTTTTGGAAGATCCAAACCCCAAACTTAAACCCAATGGGTTTAGGGTCTAGGGTTTAGGGTTTAGGGTAAGAATTAAGAACCCAAAAAGCACATAAGCATAAGCATTTTATAGGGATATCCCTACCTTATTGGGCTTCATTATAAGGGGGTTTATATGGGATATCCCTATCCTAATTTTTGCTTATGTGCTTTTTTGGGGCCCTATTGTGAGCA